GGGGGGGGGGGAGCTTCGCACCAGCCTGAGTCATTGGCCACCCCCGCCCCCAGCTTCAGAGGTCACGGTGAGTAAGGACAGTGTCTGCCAGGTACCAACCTGCTGGGGCCCGGGAAACAGCTGCTTGGCCCATCGCAGGGGCTGAGCATGGTGGCCCCTGCACTGCCTTCAGCAGGGACCCGGAGCTGAGCAGGCCACTGGCGTACTGTGGCTTGGCCAGGAGGCCGTGGGGCATGAGGCTGGTGTCCCAGTGGGGCCTGATGGCAGGTGGTCACAGGTCCTGGCAGACGGCACTGCACCCAGAGCTGGGGCCGGGATCAGCACCTGTGCACGTGGGCACCACACTCAGGTGCACAGAGACAGGTGCGTGTCGTGTCAGTGAGGGGAAAATGTCTCTGAGCCCCCCCTGCCCCCTACAGCCTGCACTGATCTCCCTGAGCCCTCGCCACCTCTGGGCTCCCTTCCCCCACAGAAGCTTCTCATCAGGAGAGTGTTTGCTCCAGCCACACACAGCTCTGGAGAACACAGACCTCCCACCCGTCGGTTCACAGATAATTCGTTCAGCCAGTGTTGGCCAAAGCCTGGCAGCCAAGCTCTTATCGGCGTTGGCTGTGAGGACCTGGCAGGGATGCACCTGCCTCTGCGCCGTCGGAATATCCAGCCGATGGTAGGGGGTTGCTGCTGAGAACAGGTGTGCGACCAACTAGACCGCTGGATGGATGGGGAGCTCGGGCGGGGTCTGAGCAGGTGGGCCCTGTTGTGGGGGCGGGCAGCAGGTTTGGGGATCCAGAGAGTGCGCAGAGCAGCTGGCAGGGGAGTCTAAGAAAAGGGGTCGACACCTGGAGCTAGCTGCTCCGCCCGTGGGTGGCGTTCAGGTCTCAGTGCAACCCCGGCCTGGCCCTGGGCAGGGCTGCTCTTCAACTGACCCCAGTCTGGGGACGGAGGGTTGTGGGGAAGGGGCACAGTGGTCACACGGCCACGACACAGGGCTGGAAGGAACACGCAGGCACACAAGGCTCTCAGCCCTGCCGAGCTCCCCCGCAAGCCCGCTCTGCTCTGTGGGCTCCACACGTTCTGCGTGGGTCTGGGCCGCTGGGTCCCAGCCAGCAGGCGGCACTGCAGGACAGTTGGGAAGCCCAGCCTTGCAGGTCTTGTGTGCGCGTGCGTGTCTGTGTGGGTCAGGGCCCTGAGGAGCCCCGCTCCTGGGAGGAAGGAGCCCACCCTGATGGCTGGCCCCTTTGCCATTTACCTTTGCACCAGGTGGTCCCCTGATGCGGGCAGTGTGATCAGACCAAGACGACCGCCCAGGCCCTCTCCACTCTCCCCTCAACTTTGCTTCCTGTGTCACCTGCAGTGTCCCCAGGCACCCTGGGTGAGGGGGGTTCTTCAGGGGACAGCAGGCTCTGGGTCCCCACTGAGGGTCCAGTGTTTGTGGAAGAGGTGAGATGGGTGTAGGGGCTACCCAGGAATGCTTCCTGGAGGAGGAGGGGTCCACACTGGGACCTGAAGGAAGAAAAGGTGGTAGAGCCACAGTTGGTCACAGAAGAGGCAGGAAGGCTACCAACCCGGGGTCGTTGGTGACAGAGGACAAGGGAGGGGGGGAGATTCGGTAAAAGCTTCTGAGGGTGGGAGGGGTCAGGGTCCCAGAGGATGGCGTGTCACGTTTCTTGCAGAATGGGTGGGAGGAGACTGTGGAGCCAGCAGGTGGGAGCAAGTATGTGGCCGAAGATGTGGGCGGAGGAGAGGATATACTGACCCAGGTGGGCCCGACAGCCCTGGCAGCTCACCCTACTGGCTTTGGGCAACTTGGGTTTTGGGGGACGGCAGACAACCCTGGTGGTTGGGGTTGGGGGACCAACAAGCATTTCCCAAGGGCAGAGCTGGACCCTAAAACATGGGGAAGACGGTGGGTGGAGAGCGGTGGAAGCGCAAGCCTGGGGCTCCTGGGAACAGCCAGGTGCGGGCTTGGGTGAGAGCAGAGGGGGCCTAGGCGGGGGAGGGGTGTGTGTACGGGCGGGTGGGGTGTCCCCAGGCCAGGCTCCCGGTGAGTCACTGCTGACCCGTCGTCCCGGCGCCGTGGGGGCCCAGGCTGGGCCGGCCGCAGGAAGCTGATAGAGGGCCAGAGTCAAAAGACTCCAGGCCTCCCACGTCCTGCAGCCCCAGGCAGGGCGCGGGGCTGGGGGAGCCGGGGGACTGGCAGGCATCTCCCGATGCAGCCACAGGTGTCCATGACGTGGCCTGGATGGCCCACAAAACCACAGAAATTGTGACCCATGACGCCCAGCTGTGCCTGTACAGGATGTAGTCAGGGTCGTTGTGGTGGGTGCAGTGAGGAGGAAGAGCTACAAGTCTGGGGCGTCAGAGCAGGGGCAGCGTGAAAGGGAGGCCGGCGCTGGGGGTGCGGAAGGGCACAGCCGGCGGGCCGCGGCGGGTGCGTGTTTACCTGACCGTCAGGCTGCATCCACCTGAGGTCAGGTGTGTGACCGCCTGCCCAGGCTGCGGAGGGGTCCGTGTTAACCCAGATCACCTGGGAGTGGGGTGCTGGGGGGAGGTAGGAGGGGCAGGAGGGCGGCTGGCAGGGGTGGTAGGGCGCCCCAGAGCACCACTCCCAGTGACTGCAGCTGCAACGCACGCAGCCCAGCACTTCTGCCATGCGCCGGGGCGACAGCCCTGTCGCAGGGGCGTCACCGGGAGCGAGAGGACCTCCCCGACACCACCCCAGCGGGTGCTCCACCGCCAGGGCCTCAGGCCGGCGCCCCACCCCCACCGTCACGCCAGCAGCCCAACCTCTGGGGCCTTGGCAGAGTCACCAGGCGCGCGCCCTCCCTGCCAGGGGTGACCCCCGAGGCCACCTTCTCCAAAGCCCCCGCCACCATCGCGGAGACGCGACCCCCGCAAGCCAGGCGACGGACGCGCAGAGAGGCGCCCACGTGCCCGAGCACCAGGGCTTCGGCTGCATCCGGTTCGCGCGGAAACAGTCAACGTCACGCGCTCCGCACCGCGCGGCTTCCCTCGCGCGCAGGGTCCGCCCGGCGACAGGCAGGTCCGCCGCTCCGGGGCCCGGGGGCGGGGCCACCGCGGGGGCGGGGCCGCTCTGCCGCGAGCTCGCGGATTGGCCTCCGCGCGGCCGGCAGGGGCGGGGCAGGCCGCCCATTGGTCCGCAGGCGGAGGGGCGGGGCCGCCGCCAGCAGCGCGCGGCCGCCGCGGGCCCCGGAGCCGAGCGAGCCTGTGGCCGCCGGGGCAGCGCGGAGGGTCGGGCAGGGCCGGGAGTCCGTCCCCGCGCCGGGCGCCGCGGAGCAGGGCCTTATCAGCGCGGGCAGCTTGCGGCCCGTGCGTGCGCGAGCGCCCCGGCCCAATTCAATGGCCATTGTCCGCCGGCGCCTTTGTTCGGGAGGCGGCCACTTCCTGCGGGCCGGGCTGGCCGGGCTGGGCCGCGCGGGCAGGAAACGCTCCGAGCCGAGGCCCAGACGCCGAGGCCGCCCCAGCCCGGGGTCAGAGGCGACGGCCACCTGCCCGGGGGCGCCCTGGGCTTGGGGCCGGGGCCCGGCGGGGCTCAACCCGGCGCTCAGCGCGGAGTCGCAGGGCCCGGTCCGCGGGGAGGGCGGGCGGGGTGGGGG